TTACATTTTTAATATAATCCTAAAAAAGTATATTCTATTGATAATATATTAAAATGTATTTCTGTAAAACGCAGTCTATTTAAAATATACTTTGGTATATATATTTTTTGCCTGGGCTCTGTTGGCACAGATCAGGTTTTTGTACCTGTTGAGTCGAAATCTTTCATTGTCATCGAACATCTGAAGTCTTATCGGTCGGCGAAGACCCCAGTAGATATTTAGCAGCCCCTCTAGGATGAGCTCTCCYTTCTCCTGCACAAAGAGAAGCGCACAAGAATTACAATAATAAGCAGCAAGTCGGTGTTTGGAGAGGAAATCCTGCGGGCCGGCTGCCACGGTGGGCTCAGTGTCAGGTGTACGTGCAGGAACAGCAGCACCGTCAACTCTCATGTCTTGTAGCAAGTCGGTCAGGTTCGACCCGGCCATTTTCTTTTTCCACAGCACGAGGATGAAGTCATGTCTGAGGAGGATGCAGAAAAAAAAACGAACAAAGCTGCAAATGTTGTGGGTCACGTAGACGAAAGCGGAGGGGCGGTTTGATTTCATACAAAGTCTTYAATTTAGAAAATAAATTGTCATCGTGCTGTATGTGACCTGAGTGGGGAAAAAAAGGTTTATAACTAAAATCAATTAAACAAGCAGTATGAATCATTTTGATGTGAATGGACCTTTTTCAGTTTTTCTTGATATCCAAATCCTTAAAACAGATCAAACGTCACGTCTGTCAGTTTTGTCATTTCCTTTTGTCTGGTTCTCTTGTTATTCAACCATCATAACTAACTCAACAGCCTGCAGTACAATGCAGGTCTTTAATACATGTCTAGCCAATAGAAAGAGGGGGAAATATATTCATCTTAGAATTTCAGCGATTTAATCAGCAAAGAGGTTATAAAGAAGGCCATTCTGATCCGGCGATGCAACATCAAAGCTTGAGTTTAGSCTGTGGCATTTAAAGTAAACATAATCTAATGAATAAAGAATGGAAAAACTGAGTAATCCCTTAACAGGTTCAGAGGAAAAATTATCTTAATTAAAATGAATATTGGGTGGAAAAAGTTTAATCAGACAGCATAAGAGTATTGAGGACATTTTAGTATTTGGGCCTTTAAGGGAACAAAAACAAACTGAATAAATTACTTTAAATMATCTATATATGGTTTGAAACTGCCCTAAATAGTTATTTTTTTTATGTATGTCATTGTCTTTTATTTAAAAAGACAAAATAAGTGTTTGACAATAAAATGAAGCAGATCAAAAACATTAAAAAGTAGGTTAAAATACAAGAAACAACCACAAAGTAATAGAATTTGTAGAACCGGTCACTGACTGAATCACCAGATTGATTGCTGTCACAACAAATGTCTAAAATTTGTAATGCCTAAAAAATAATCGGAAATCTCAAAGCAGTTGCTGTAAAGTCAAAAGCTGCTCTGCCTCAGAGCATGTGACATCAGTCAACACATGAGGATTTCAGTTTGCATAATAGTCATATGATTTTATCCTTTTTATAATTAAAAACCTTCAAAAAACAAATTAGCATCATTAGTCTTTACATGCTTGTTGTTTTATGCTTTTATATATTTTAAATGCGCATTAAAAATCTTAGGGTTGGGATTTTTCATTTCCAGCTGCCCTGTTATGATTTCATAAGATAATTAGCTCATTTCAAACATGTATYAAAATAAAACTAATATAAGATAATAAAATTAAAAAATATTTGAAATATTTCAAAATGAATGGGAGGAAGAAAATAATTTATCCCCACCCTAAATTCTTCGGTTTCTTTATTCTAAATCACACAGCAATGATTCCATAAGACCAAAACAATAATCAGTTTATTTACTAAATTATATAACAACAACAAACAGCATCATTGATATCAATATCAATGATTAAAAAGATAAGTGAGAAATACTGTATATAACAGACTTTTTAGACTAAATCCAACCCAAAAAGTCAAAGACAAAGAAGAAGCAGCACAAAAATGGCTCTTTGTTGGTTTTTACACGCTTTCATTGTTTCTGGCGTGTAAACACAGCTGCACCGCTGGACTCCACCAACAACGCCACTCCTGAGTTTCCTGAYCAGGCACGAACACACCCTCCAGCACACACTCACGCTGCTGGGAGGAAGGTCAGCAGAGCTATTTTTGGCAGGAGAAGCTAATCGCTCCGTCACAGTCCGCCTATAAAAGCCTGGCTCCACGCTGCAGTCCGCTCACACTCCGCTGCACAGATTAGACATCAATCTGGTAATCTCTGCATTCCAGACCTYCCGAGATCGAAGGTGAGCGTGATTCTACTTCTTCAACCATTTAAAAACATTTTAGAACTTTTTATTATTAAATAAAATATAGAAAGTTAGGTTTGACATAAAGTTTATGAAAATTATAATTGGTGGTCTAACATAATAATGTAATAAAAACTAAAAATTCAAAGCCATAACTAGATGAACAAACAAAAGGGTGTTTTATACTAACTACTTTGTTTTTGCTTGTTTTGTTGCAGCATGAGAAGCAGAAGATTGTTGCTGTCTTTGTCTCTTTTACCCACCATAACCGAGACGCTGGAGGACCTGCCCATCCATCCCTCACCCCTCCAACCCACCCAGACCTCCCACTCTCAAGAGGACTACATGACAAGCATTCAGGCCCTGGCACGGCCCGCTGAGGCCCTGAGCTACGGCCCCGTCAGAGGACTGCTGCAGAGGTCCTCCAGGCTGCGGCAGCTCTCCAAGGCTCAGGTGAAGCTCTCTGGCTCAGCCGCGGCTGCTCGCATGTCTCCGCTCACGCCAAGGACTTCCAGATCCCCCAGTTTGAATACAAACAGCGCGGAGGAGTTTTCCCTCAGGATGAGCAGAGAACGAGATTGCAGGGGCAAAGACCCCCTGGACTGGCTCTTCGAACAGATAAGGACTTGAAGAGAGACACTGTTGTTGTTGCTGTTGTGTGAAATCATCTGGGTACTGTGGTGGAGAAAGGAACCAAGGCTGGAGGAACCTCCAGAGGAACTGTAAAACCRTGGCTCATGATAATAGTGAAAATCTACAGTATTTATGTAAATGCACAAAAAACTTAAATTTATATATTTATGTTGGACGAATATTTTTTTGTAAAAATGTAGAATTTTCTAATAAATCCTAAAATTTACAGAAACTGATTAAAGTTTTTATTTTTTTAATATATTTTTTGATTTTATTTATTTTATTAACGGGTCCCCATTAGTCTCTGCAGAGGTAGACACTCTTCCTGGGACCCAAATTTTGATGTTTAATCTGCTTGATAAATTAATTTCTAAGAGGTAATAGTGTGAAATAACTTGACTCCAGTCTATATGACACTGGTAAAAATAATGGAATAAAAGCAGTTATTTTGAGGCATTTTGTATCATATCATTTTTGTCATTACAAATTTCATAACAAAATTTTCACGTTTGCTTCATTTAAGTTTGAAAAATTACTACTTAAAATGCCTTGTTTCGATTTTTTAAGCAGAAAATTTGGATTTATAGTACTAGACAGAACAGATTGCTTAAAAATTAGAAATGAAGCACTATTTGTATTTATTTATTTATTTATTTATTTATTTATTTATTTATTTATTTATTTATTTATTTATTTATTTATATATATAAGTTTAGGCTCTAATTTTCAATGCATTATTTTACTTGTACATGTCTCAGTACATCACACTCAATAGATAAATAAACTGAGCTTCCATTAAGCCCCATCGAATCCCAAAGCGCTTTAACAATTGTTTGACAAATTAACAAATAGATTAACAAAAAATAACTAAAAGTGATCAAATTAGAAAGGCAAAACTAGAATACTAACATATAATTTTACCTACATCTATTCATTTTCTAAATCTGTTTGATCCTGTTCTGGATAACGTGATGCCAYTTTCCTGTGGTCATCAAGAGATGGGTGAGGTACACCCTAAGTCATCACAGAAACAACACAAAGACAAACAACCATACACTGTGGCAAATGTTCATTTGGTAAATAAACCTAACATTGATGTTTTCGGATTGTCCAAGAAAACTCGAGTATCTGTAGAAAATCCATCAAACACAGGACATACACAAGAGGAGATAGGAGTTGAACCCAGGAAGGCAACAGTTCTAACCACAAAACTCCTCTATTTATGATTTATGAATATAAAACATATAGCAATTCATAGGTTAAAAAAGCCAGAATTAAGCAAAAGTCTATTTCACATCTGTAGTCCCCTGACCATGATGTTTAAAAAGCTGATAAAAGACAAGAATATGAATGCAATAACACACAATTAACAGATGTATGAATCAACGAGCCCCTTTTACAAGTGTTTAGTGAAAGTGTTTAAGGTTTAAACATCCAAGCATATGATTAAACATCATAAATTAAAATACAAAATAATAACATAAGAAGCAGCAATGCAACACTCAGTTAGGGCAGCGGTTTTGTTACAATTTATTTAGCAATAAGCATTATTTCTGGCATGCAAATTCATCTTTTTATAATGCTTTTATATAAATATCTCACCACTGCTACCACAGATTTTACACTTACTATAAAAACGTGTACTTTACTTTTCTCTGTACTCCACTACCATCTAGTGGTACCATTACTGTAAAAGTTTTAAATCCAAACTACCAGACACGTCCTGTAGGGAGCGTTACATGCTTGCATGTTGCATATTTGGGCGACTGCAGGAGGAGAGTCAAAGCAAACACAATCGGCTACAAGAGTTCTCAGTAATGAGTCAGGTCAGACTAGACTGACCTAGATTCACTGTCCCATATTATTTTATCGGATGGAGACAGAAAACTGATTCAAAGTCAAGAAAATCTGCAAATGTGGCACCTAGAAAATATCAGAGAGTTTGAAGATGAATAAAGGTAATGGTATTAGATGTCAACACCACTTTTTAACAAATTAACCTAACTGAGGTGCGTCTAACAGGAATTCATAARGACTCTGCGGCCGGAAATGTGAACAAATTCAAACAACTCTATTACAGATACAGGTACAGTTGGTCGAACACGTTAGGGCTTGTTTTTTTCTCAAACAGATGAGATTGATTCTGACTGACAGTGAACTGGAACGTCTAACAGTTTGACATGAACTCCATCGATATGACTAACAAACAACACCTGACTACACCTAAAGCATGTGATTATGACCTAATCCTCTCAACAACATACAAATTTAAACTTGTCAGTCCGCCTCTTCTTTTCACACGGACCCATCTAAGCCAAACAAGGACAACAAATGCCGTCTGGGAATGAATGAAGGTGCAAGTCTATCGAACACGTTCACATGCTCCAAATTCCATTAAGGAGTTTCCAAACTTTAGCCTTGGCCAAAGAATGAAACTGCTGAGTAATGTGTTTTTTTTCTCTCCTTGAAATCTACAAAATATCAGAGTCAGCCAGGTCTTACCTCAAGATGTCCTCAGTTATTGCTTTAATCAACTCTCAGGTCAATTTTATTTTATCTTGACATTTTTTTCTTACCACTTTTCAGACTAATCTTTCAGCACAAGAACTTACCACGCAGGAACTGAGTCAGAGGATTAACAACTTTCAAAGAAAACAAATCATTCATTAACATAAGACGATGTATGGAATGTTGATATTTCTTTTGTTGCAGCAGAAGAAACATAAATACTGCTCTGGGATAAATAAAGTTTTAGTAAATTGAATTGAATTGGCATACATTTGTCCACAGTGAGCATTAAACAAATAATCTAATGATGACAGTGACACCTG